GAGAGAGAGAGAGAGAGAGAGAGAGAGAGAGAGATAGTCTATATGGAAAAACCCACCATCAAAACCAAAGCACAAACAACAGATTGTAACCAGCTACAAACAACATACTTGTAACTCATTTCCAAGTGAAGAGCTGATTTCCCTTATATATAAAGAGCTCTCAAATCAATAAGAAAAAGACCAACGGCCCAGTAGACAACTGGGCAAAGGATACCAACAGACCATCCACAGAAAAGGAAATAGAAATGTCTTTCAAACCTATGAAAATTTGGTTTTCCTCTCTTACTAAGATAAATGGAAATCAACCTAGACTTGCATATTTTTTACCTATAGGTAAAAATTTAAAACTTTAATAAAAAACTGTGATAGTCAAGGGATGGGGAAATAGCCTGATGGGAGAGTTAGCTGATACAACCTTCGTATAGAACAGTATCTACAAAATTATGAATGGTTATTCCCCTCCCCCCTTTTTTTAATTTAGGTGAAATTCATGTAACAAAATTAACCATTTTAAAGTGAACAATTCCGTACATTCACTATGTTGTGCAACCACCACCTCTATCTAGTCCAAAACATTTTCATCACTCCAAAATAAAAAACTCTGTACTCATTAAGCAGTTACTTCCCATTCCTCCCTACCTGCAGTCCCTGGCAACCACCAACCTGCTTTCTGTTTCTATGGATTTACCTATTCTGGATATTTCAAATGAATGGAAGCATGAAATATGTGACATTTTATGTCTGGCTTCTTTCACTGAGCATAATGTTTTGGAGGTTCATCCACATTGTAGCATGTATCAGTACTTCATTCCTTTTTACGGCTGAATAATATTCCATTGTGCGTATATACCACAATTTGTTTATCCATTCATCCAGTCATTGGATATTTGGGTCATTTCCAGCTTTTGGCTTTTGTGAATAGTGCTGCTATGAATAACGAATGCTTTTGACTGAACAATTCCATTACTAGGAACTGATCCTACCAATAGGCCCACACAAAAAATTGTAAAGCAGAAAATTGAAAACAATCTAAATGTCCATAATTGGGGCGCTAGCTACATAAAGTCTGCACATTTGTGGAGACTGCTTCACAGCCCTAATAGAACAAGGCAGCTCTTCAAGGACTAATACAAAAAGATAGAGGTACCTTACATGAAAATTTCAGGTGCAGGATACAGTATAGAGTATGCTATCATTTGTGTAAAGAAAAGGAGGGGAGGAGGAAAGATTTTACATATATATGATTTATTTTTATTCATTTAGATTGAGATATAATTGACATACAACATTGTATTCATTTTAGGCGTACAACGTAATGATATATGTATATATTGCAAAATGATTACCAAAATAAGTCTAGTTAACATTCATCACCAGTTACAATTTTTTTCTTGTGATGAGAACTTTTTAGATCTACTGTCTTAGCAACTTTGAAATATGTAATACAGAATTGTTAACTATAGTCACCATACTGTCCATTACATCCCCAGGACTTATTCATCTTGTAACTGGAAGATTGTACCTTTTGACCCCCTTCACCCATTCCCCCCACCCCCACCTCTGGCCACCACCAATCTGTTCTCTGTATCTATGAGTTCAGTTTTTTGTTTTTAGATTCCATACAGTATTTGTCTTTCTCTGTCTGACTTAGTTCACTTAGCATGATGCCCTCAAGGTCCATGCATGTTGTCACAAATGGCAAGATTTCCTTCTTTTTTATGGCTGGATAATATTTCATTGTATATACACGACATTTTCTTTATTCATTCATTTGTCAATAGACACTTAGGTTGTCTCCGTGTCTTGGCTGTTGTAAATAATGCTGCAATGAGCTTAGGGGTGCAGATATCTTTTCAAGATAGTGATTTCATTTTCTTCAGATAAATACCCAGAAGTGGAATTGCTGGATCATATGGCAGTTCTATTTTTAATTTTTTGAGGAACCTCTGTACTGTTTTCCACAGTGGCTGCACCAGTTTACATTCCCACCAACAGTGCACACGAGTTCCCCTTTTTCCATATCCTCACCAGCACTTGTTATTTCTTGCCTTATGTGTAATTTTTTTGCTTGAGTTTGCACAGAATACCCCTGACATCTCTGGAAGGATCCACAAGAAACTAGTACTATTGGATGTCTCCAGGAAGGGGAACTGGCTGGCCAGGGGATGGGGCTGCAGGGGAGACTTATTGCTAAATACACTTTCACACCTTTTGAATTTTGAGCCATGTGAAAGTATTAAATTTAAAAAATTAAATCTAAAATAAATATTTTTAAGAACAGATATTGGACTAAACAAAAGCTATTTTCATTGTGAGTGAAAAAATGTAGCATAAAAATCTTTTTCCTTTTTCTAAGTTTGCTTCTTCCCCACCCTCCATCCCTCTTATGTTGGCAGAGTTAGCTGAGGAGAGGCCTCCGGCCAGGAGGGAGCGCACTTGGGTTCATTTGAGCAGTCGGGAGAAGGGTGTCACTGGGGAGTTGTCACTGAGGAGGTACATGGCCTCCAGGGCGGGTTCAGCCCAGGAATGAATACAGACCCCCTCCAAGGAACTTCACCTACAATTTCAGACACCAGAGACAAAGAGTCTGGAAGCTTCTGGAGAGAGAAAAAGGCAAACACAAGCCAACCCAAAGATCTGGAATGAGAGGGGCACTGTATTTCAGCAGCAGAAATAGTCAAAAGACAATGAACAGAGCAGTCAGAATGCTGAGCTAAAATATCAGTCAGAAGCAGAGACAGAATACAAGGCCCCCAGGGCCAGCCCCGTGGCTTAGCGGTTAAGTGCACGCTCTCCGCTGCTGGCGGCCTGGGTTCCGATCCCAGGCGCACACTGATGTACTGCTTGTCCAGCCATGCTGAGGCGGCGTCCCACATACAGCAACTAGAAGGATGTGCAACCATGACATACAACTATCTACTGGGGCTTTGGGGAGAAAAAGGGGAAAAAAGGAGGAGGATTGGCAATAGATGTTAGCTCAGGGCCGGTCTTCCTCAGCAAAAAGAGGAAGATTGGCATGGATGTTAGCTCAGGGCTGATCTTCCTCACACACACAAAAAAGAATACAAATCCCCTTTCAAACTTGCAAGGACCCAAGAAATGACCTTCCAGTCATCTTTTCTTGGAAAGTTGTTAGAGGATGTGCTTCAGCAAAATGGGAGTAAACCAAGAGTCAGGCTTCTGATCCAGGCAAGCCAGAGGAGCCTGGGTGGCACTGAAGGAACACAGGCCACCTTGGAACAGGGAGGATGGGATTTCCATAGGGCTCCACATGGCTCTGAAAACTTAAAAACAGCTAAGCTGGGCAACAGAACACTTGTGATATCTGGCTTCCAGGAGCTTCTCTGAATACACCTTAGAGGACAGGACCTTCATCCCACCCAGGGGAGTCCAAGACAGTGGCTTGGGGGAATAGACTGTGTTTGCATTGTTTCCTTTAATTTTAGACTTTAAAAGCCTCTGAGCCATTAGCTGGTAGGGATGAGGAGGTGACCCCACAGACTAAATTGAATCTTCACCACCCTGGGTCTCTGGTCCATTTCTGTCCCAATGACAGACCATAGCTCAGGTGTCCTTTGGGGAGCTTTCTCTGACTTTGCCCCCACCCCCCTGCCAGCTGGATCAAGCGCCATCCACCAGAACTTCCACCATCACTGCAGGGGAGCTCATCTCAGTGCTGTGCTCCTGCACCCTGGTGGGGCCTGGCACACACAATGGCTTCAGTAAATTAGCCCTGAGGCTGCTCTGGAACCGAGTCATCGGAGGGAGGAGGTGTTGGGCACAGCTCCCTACCCCAAGAACCTTCCTCCTCCAGCCAGGGTTAGGGCGGGGAGTGGAACTCCCAATGGGGCAGGGCTGGCCGCCAGGAGGAAGTAGGGCCTAGTGAGCATGTGCTGGGCTTGAGAGTGCAGGCGAAAGTAGGGACTCCTCCTGTAGCCCCCCTGGGGACCCTGGGCTGTGGGCCTCAGGGGCTTTGGGTTGACAAGCCTGCCTTCCTGGAGGAGGAAAGGGGAAGAGAAATCTGTGGGGCGTTTTGAGTCAGCTCACTATCATAATGGGAACAGCACAGCCCTGGGCATCAGGACACTTCCCCTCTGTGGGCCTCAGAGTCCTAGTTATGAGATTGAAATAAGTCCTACACAGGGAGTCAGGCTTAAGTGACAGAAGGGTGACAAAGCACTCTGTTAGGCAGATGTGAAGGGGAACACTGCCACTGACCCTACAGTGACAGCTAGCCAGGGGTTAAGAGACTCCATGTCTTGCCTCCAGCCCAGATGAAAGTCTTTCACTTCCCTTAGTCCCAGGTCGGAACTCGGACCAGGTGGAGCCTTTTGGGGACTCTGGGTTCCTCTTGTCCATCAGTCACTCACATTCTAGTGAGAATCCTCCTGTCTGTCCAGAGAGGACATCTTGATTGGAGGGGCAGCCATTTGGGAGACTGGCCCCAAGGGTGGGAGCAGTGTCTCACACGATGAAGGCCAGGGTGACCACCAAGCCTCATCTAGGGGTGGAGGCCATCAGAGGAAACACTGTGCTCTAAGACTCTTACTCAATGTGTCAGTCTGACACCTCCAAGAACACCCTGTTCCCATCTTCCTCTTGCATAAGGTCTGGACCCAGCAGGAGGAGGCCTGAGGCTCTGTCATGGACACTGACCCAGTCTGGAGGCCCAGGGCGTGCTCTGAACGGACCCCTACAGCTGTGCTGGGTGAGGAGGAGGGGCTTTTCCCTCTCAAAGGCTAGTGCCCCACTCGTGTGGGTGAGCATTCCGTCGGCTTAGGTTGCTGTGTGACATAAGGCAAGCGACTTCGCCTCTCTAGCCCTCAATTTTCTTGCCTATAAAGTGGGGTTGATAACGTCGTTTGCTTCTTAGGGTTGTTATGAGGATTGACAAGCCCGATGGCACCCAGGCGGCGCCCATACTCTGGGGCCAGAGGTTGGGGTTTGGGGGCGTCGCCGTCCCGCCTCCGGCCCAGCCCCCCGCCCGCTTCCTCCTCCTAGGGGCTGGCGGGCGGGTGATGTCCGGCCCCCCCCCCGCCCGGCGCCCGGCGGGCAGCCGCCTGCCGCCGCGCCATGTCCGCCGGCTGGTTCCGGCGCCGCTTCCTGCCGGGGGGTCTGCTCCCCGCGCCGGGGACGCCCAGGCCGCGCGCTAGCCCGGTGCCCTACCGGCGGCCCCGCTTCCTGCGCGGCTCCGGCTCCGGCCCGGGCACTGCCGACGCCTCCCGCCGCCCAGACTCCCGGCCCGTGCGCAGCCCAGCGCGGGGCCGCTCGCTGCCGTGGAACGCAGGCTACGCCGAGTAAGTGGCCCCACCCCGGAGCGACTCCCATCTGGGATACTCTCCACTCCGGGCGACCCTTATCCCGGGAGCCCGGACCCCAGACCCTTGCTGATCCAGCCTGGGATCCTGTGCTGATCTACGAAACAGGCTGAGTGAGTGACCCTCCCCCCCGCAGCCTTGTGAATAACTCACTCCAGTCTTCACCCCGGGCCTCTTGACGACTTCCCCCATCCCACCTCTGCCTTTTCATTGGGACTCCAACCTCGCTCAGAGAGGATTGCTGGTCAGGAAGGATCTGCATCCCAGGGGCTTCCAAGATGAGGCAGGGAGACTGGGTAGAGTTGCAGCGTTCTGGGCTTTGAAGATACCTCCACCATCACGCACACACACTTCACCCTGGGTTGTAGCCTATGCCGTATGGGACAGAGATTCTGGCTGAGGTGGGGCAGGGGATAGACAAGGGAGCCCCAGATCTCCCCAGGCAACACAGGTCAGCAGGTAGGCTCCAGAGGTGCTGGGCCCTGAGTTTTGCTTTAGGCGTGATGTCATTGAACAGTTAGGAAACTTACACTGTGTCCAGGTGGCTCCTCCTTCTGTGTACCAGCTCTGGTCTCTGTGCCCACGGGGACATGTGTGTGTCCCTGAAGGGTCACTGATTACTTCCCGGCCTCAGGATCATCAATGCAGAGAAATCTGAGTTCAACGAGGATCAGGCCGCCTGTGGGAAGCTGTGCATCCGACGATGTGAGTTTGGGGCTGAAGAGGACCAAGAGTGGGTGACCTTGTGCCCAGAGGAGGTGAGCACAACTGGGCCTGAGCCCCTCTTGCAGGCAGGGGCCAGGACTGCAGGCTGAGGTTCTTGTCCTGCTGCCCCATGCTGGGCCAGGGGACAACTGGGGAGGCCAGGCAGAGCCTGACACCAAGCCCTTCCTGTACAGTTCCTGATGGGTCATTACTGGGCACTGTTTGATGGGCACGGCGGTCCAGCTGCAGCCATCTTGGCTGCCAACACCCTGCACTCCTGCCTGCGCCGGCAGCTGGAGGCCGTGGTAGAGGGCATGGTGGCCACTCAGCCCCCCATGCACCTCAGCGGCCGCTGCATCTGCCCCAGTGACCCCCAATTTGTGGAGGAAAAGGGCATTAGGGCAGAAGACTTGGTGATCGGGGCTCTGGAGAGTGCCTTCCAGGAATGTGTGAGTGTGGCCTTTGGCTGGGAAAGGAGGGAAGGTTTTGCCCCCAGGGACCTGAGGGAGCTCTGGGTTGTGGGGCATCCGTGCGCAGGATGGTGGTCACCCTGGATCTTTGGATTGGGAGGACAAGGTTGGTTTGGTTGGTTTGTTACTAATGGCCGTCATTGTCATCATAACCCCTCCCATTTATCCAGCGCCTACTATATACTACCTGCATCATCTTGTTGCACACCCTGTTGGTCCTTGGTACAGGGACTGGTTTCCCTTCCTCAATGTTTTGAGTAGGACTTCCCTTCCTCCCAAGGGCTACATCTAGATCTCCTGACCACGGGGATCCTGGAGTCATAGCTAGATTTTGGGCTGGGACTGCCACGCTTGCTGGTAGGAAAATGAACTGTAGGGAGGAGATCCGGGGACAGAGTGGTAGCGTGGCAGTACAAGCAGCAGCTAAAGTGGCCTTGGTTTGCCCCAGGATGAGGTGATCGGGCGGGAGCTGGAGGCCTCAGGCCAGGTGGGCGGCTGCACAGCCCTGGTGGCTGTGTCCCTGCAGGGAAAGCTGTACGTGGCCAATGCCGGGGATAGCAGGTGAGTGAGCCCTGAAGGGTGGGTAGGAGTGGGACGAGCAGGCAGGCACCAGAGGCAGTAGAGACAGTGAAAGTGGGGCTGGAAGTAGAGGGATGGAAATGGGGAGGATGGACTGGCTGAGTTGTGTATCAGGCGTGTTCTGAGTGTGAGGGTGGACAGCAGGATGCCATGGAGGGCAGGGACCTCAAGTGCCAGCCAAAGGGCTGAGCTTCTACCCTGCAGACCCTAGACAGTCATGATGGGCTTTGAGCAAGGGATTGGCATGGGCAGAGCTAGCCCCTGGTGGTTGGAGGAGGGGCCAGCAGGAGGGAGGCCATGGGTAAGGGTGGAGGCTGCCCCACAGACTTCTTCCTTTCCTCCCTAACCCCATCCAGGGCCATCTTGGTGCGGAGAGATGAGGTACGGCCCCTTAGCTCTGAGTTCACTCCAGAGACTGAGCGGCAGCGGATCCAGCAGCTGGTAGGTGCCCTTGGCAGAGGAAGGCTGTGGAGCCCCAACTCGCTGGCCCAGGGCCACCAGAGGGAGCCTAATCTGAGCATGGCCTTCCTACCCCAGGCCTTTGTCTACCCTGAGCTTCTGGCTGGTGAGTTCACCCGACTGGAGTTCCCTCGGCGGCTGAAGGGGGATGACTTGGGGCAGAAGGTTTTGTTCAGGGATCACCACATGACCGGCTGGTAAGCAAGGTGGCGTTGGGGGGCACAGCGGAGAGGGAGAGCCCTGGGGTCCAGGCCCAGCTGTATGGCCTGGGGCAGTCCCCTTCCACCTGGGCAGGGTGGCCCCTGTGTTGGGGGGAAGATGAGGTGGAAATTAGGGCCGGAGTTGATGCTGGGTCTGCTCCTGGTAGGAGCTACAAGTGCGTGGAGAAGTCAGATCTCAAGTACCCGCTGATCCATGGACAGGGTAGGCAGGTCAGTGAATGGCCACACCAAGAATCCCTCTTAAATTGTCTTCTGCAGAGGTGGGAGCTCCTTTGTCCCTTGTTGCGGGCTGTGGCAGGGCCCTGGGGCCTTGCTCCAAGGCCACATGATGTTTCTCCCTCAGTCCAGGGCTCCCAAGGGCCATAGTCCACCTCTGTGTGCTTTACTTGTGCATTTGCTGGGGCTGTTGTCACCTCACACCTCCCTTGTCCCCAGGCTCGGTTACTGGGAACACTGGCCGTCTCGCGGGGCCTGGGAGACCATCAGCTCAGAGTCCTGGACACAGACATTCAGCTCAAGCCCTTCTTGCTCTCTGTCCCACAGGTAAGGGGGCAACAGCCCACTGCAGCTTCCATCTGCCCAGAAAGGCAGACAGTGAGGCTGGTGGGAAGGGAGCATTGAGGGATCCTCAGACTTGACTTGCAGGTGACTGTGCTGGATGTGGACCAGCTGGAGCTGCAGGAGGAGGATGTGGTTGTCATGGCAACTGATGGGCTCTGGGATGTCCTGTCCAATGAGCAGGTGGCACGGCTGGTACGGAGCTTCCTCCCTGGCAACCGAGAGGACCCACACAGGTACTGTAGCTGCTGGGGACCTGCCTGGGCCTGGGTCGGTGCCAGCAACACTAAGAAGTAGTTATGGCTGAAAAGACAGCACTGACAATGAGCCTGGCTCAGGGCAGGTGGCCAGGATTGGGGCTGTCTCAAGCTTCTGGGGGGTGACTATCGATCCCAAAAATCTCTGGGTCCAGACTCCCATGGTCCAACTTGTGGCCTTCCCAAGCTTCTGGCTTGCCTGGCCCCACAGTTGGACTGCATTGCCTGGGTCCCCAAGTGTCCAGCCCTGTGCAGCGAGTTCTCCCTGAGGGTTGGCCTTGCTTCTGTGTTCAGCCACCAAAGTGCATCTGCAGGATGGTCCCCACAGGTTCTCAGAGCTGGCCCAAATGCTGATACACAGCACACAGGGGAAGGACGACAGTCTCACAGGGGAAAGGCAGGTGTCCTACGATGACGTCTCTGTGTTCGTGATTCCCTTGCACAGCCAAGGCCAAGGGAGCAGTGGCCACTGAGGATTCAGACACCACATCCCAGAACCACTCTGGGGCAGTCTGGGCATCCTTCCACCATGGTCAACAGCAGGCTTGCCTGCCCTGCCCCCAGACACAGCCCAGGGCTCTCACCCCCGACCCCAACCCATTTCAAGGGGAGCATTTATACCAGGCAGTCAGAGATCCCAGCTCTCCAGGTCTCTGCATTGGCAGGCAGGGAAAGAGCACTAATGTCAATGATAACGTCCTTCTGGCAGAGGCCCTTTACAACTTGGGAAACCCAAGCGAGGCTCCTCAGACAGGATCCTTAACAGCCCAATATAGTATTGGCAGATGGGGAGAGCTGGACCAAGGGCATTGGCCAAGGATGCCAGGAAGGGCAGACAGCCTGTGTTTGGGTCCAGGTCTCCAGTCCATGAATGTCAGGGTATCACTCAACAACCCCCAAAGCATATGCAAGGTGCCTTATGGGAAGCTGTGGGCAGCCCCTGGGGAGGGACCAGCCTGCTCCCCTCTGCCATTGGAGGTGAGGCACAAGCCCTAGGGCTAAAGTTTAGGGAGAACAGAAAGGGACAAGAGGAACCCCCGAGTTGGCTGAGTGGGGAATGCCCTCCAATTGCTGCTCTTGCCTCTAGCCTGGCCTCCTCATTGCTCCTCCCTGGCCCCAGCCCCCGCCTAGGCTGATGCCCCAACAATGCCTTTGTTCTGTTGCTCCCCATCACCTCCCTATTATTAAATGTTTTTGTGCAGAAGAGCCCTTGTGAATCGTAAATTGCTGTACAGCTTGGCATTACAGTATACCTTTTGCTCTTTCTTGTTACCTTCCAAATCATCAGTCTTAGCTCCATCTTCCAAGTTTGCCTATAGTCAGAACTGTGTTTTCTCTGTGGCCTGCCTAGTTCCTAGCTTGAGGTGAGCTCCAGTGAGAGAACTGTTGCCCAAGGAACAGAAAGAAGGTCTTTACCACCATCTGTGAGCTCTGGGCTTGAGGTACCAGAAGGGATGCCTTTAACTTGTTTTTGAATGCAAATTTCTATAAAACTACACTTAGCTGGAGACAAGTCAGTTGGGGCTCCAGGGCTTGCTGTTTGATGAGCAGCTTAGTTCTTCTTCTTCCCCACATGACTGCTTTATCATCTAGCACTTGCCAAGGCTCAGGTGCTTGGGAAGTTATTTCCTGAATTACAAGGCAACCACCTTCATGACCTCAGCCTTGCCTGACTCTTCTCTAAGATGAATTCTTGGGTTTTTTTTTGGTGAGGAAGATTGGCCCTGAGCTAACATCTGTTGCCAATTTTCCTCCTTTTTTCCCTTTTTCTCCCCAAAGTCCCAGTAGATACTTGTATGTCATAGTTGTACCTCCTTCTAGTTGCTCTACGTGAGACACCGCCTCAGCATGGCTTGATGAGCAGTGCGTAGGTCCACGCCCAGGATCCAAACTGGCAAACCCCGGGCTGCCAAAGAGGAGCGCATAAACTTAACGGCTATGCCACCAGGCCAGCCCCTGAGATGAATTCTTACCAGGCAACTCAGCCCTAGACTGCAGCCAGGAAGGATAAGGGCCAAAACGCCCCAGAATTGATGGTAAAACTCATGTATTTAACCCACTGGGGAGAGTCTTTCCTGCCCATTAACTCATTTTACAAAGTTCTCCAGGGAAGAGAGAGGAAAAACTACAGAATTTCTCATTTTTCATAGTCATGTTTCACAGCCCAGCACTTCTGGGCCTACATCTGTCTACAGCTGGGTCCTGACAAACCATGGTTGGTCCCAGCAGCCCTGAACAGCCTCTCAGGGCTCCTCTAGACTGGCAAATACAGGAGTGTGCCCTCCCAACCTGCAAGAGTTTTACTTCCTCTTTCCTCAGCAGTCTCCACCCCCCAGCAAAGTGTGGGCCACATCCTGTGCCTGCCCCTCACCCACATCAACTGCTGAGCCAGCTCACCCCCACAGCCTGCTTGCTTTGCTTCGACCCAGCCCACTGCCTGCTCTTGCTCCTCACACCAGAAGGCTGAAGCCCCCCTGGGGAGTGGGCGCAGTGGGTGTCTCAACTGCAAGCAAGCCAAACTGACAGGAGTGACTGCTGCAGGGGCAGCTACACTGACCTCCGTGTTCGTCTCTCAGCAGAGCCAAACAGTGCAGCAGCCCTCCCACCAGGCCATGGGGGGGGGTCTCTTCCTCCTTGAGCAGTCTGTGTCAGGAGAGCCTATGCAAGGTCTACTACTCACAAGCTGGGATGCTCCTTCAGAGCCCTTGGCCAACCTCCAATAACCATGGGCAAAGTGGCAGGCCCACGGCTGTCTTCTCTGGTTCAGAGAGGGCCAAGAGGCAGACAGCAAGTCCCACAGCTCTGAGATGCTGAGCTAGAACACAGGCTCTAGAAGTTACCAACTCACCATCCAGGCAATGGGTTACCAAGCAGCTGGCCTCGCCTTCTGCCACAACTGGTGCAGGAGCCTCAAAGAGGCCCCACTATCCTGCCCCCTAGAAGCCAGGGCCTAGCAGCACGAACATTATTCCAATAATGAGGCTGCCAATCTGATCAAAGGTTGAGGTAACAGTGGGGGATGAAATGCAGCCTCAGGTACATGCCAGATGCAGTCTTTGAAGATCAAGCTTGGCTCAGGATAACCTTTCTCAGTCACTCATTTCTGGCCCTGTGGCTGTTTAACAGAGCCTGGGATTGAGGAGACCCAGGCTGCTATGCGCTGACGGCTGGGTCTAGGGATTCCTCCCACCAGCCCACAGGCCTTAGTCACCAGGAGCAGTCAGAGGCAATCCCAGGAGGCCCAACAATCCATCCACTCAGCATTATAGCGAGTCCCAGTGTGAGCCTGGAGGACTAACAGGAGACAACCCATCCCTCCCTCTAACTCTAGGAACCAGGCAAACAATGCTACAGAAACTCAATGGAGGAGGCTGCAGCCATAAAATTCTGTTTAAGACAGATAACATGGAAAAAATGTTTATATGTTAAGTACAAAAGGGACATAAAATTGTATATACAGTAGAATAACAACTACGTAAACACACCAAAAATCTATGCACAGAAATGTCTAGAGGAACATTTAACACCAAAAGATTAACAGTGGTAGCATTTGGGCGGCCAACTGATTCTTCTTAAAATTCCCAAATTTTCCTTAAGCATTAATTATGATTGCAACAGGGAAGCTTTTTCTAAAAAAATACCCCACTGGCTGGTGGTTGAGCAGTGCAGTGTCAATGTCACATACAAATCGGTGGCTTTGGCCTTGACTCTTCCAAGTGTGGTGAACGGCCCTTCCCCGAGGAGAGCTTGCGTACCTCTGGCTCCCACTGAGAGAATCCTTGCAGCCCCAGCCCTCAGTCTCTCTGGCTCACAGCCTCTCTTCCCCATTTATTCTGCCTTATTCCCACCACCACATCATCTCCAGTCACTTCCAGCTGCATCTTTTCCCTTTCCTTCCCAACTCAGGAGCCAGCTCTGCAGCCACAAGTCCCCAGAAATAGAGGCCATGCGGTGCATATTTTCAAAGGACATAGTGCCTCAGCTTTGGACACAAAGGAACTCAATACAAATCATCTTCCTGCTGACAGGCAAGTCATGCTTGGTGGCTGCCCTGGTTGCAGATATGTTAACTATGCAGCCTTTCTTGTTAACGCAGAGTTCCAAGCACTCTCTCTGAACAGTTACTCCTACCATGAAATTTTCTATCGTGGAAAGCCAGGAGTGGGCAGGAACAGCTCAATCATTTGGTTTCTAGAAGTCCCTCCACTCTGAGAAGGCAGAGCTATACAGTGGATGGATGGCACCACAGAAGCTGCAGATTCGTCTGTTTGCGAAAGATGTATATCCCTTGCCCTTTAAGTCTGAGAAACAAGTCAAAAAGTTGTTGCTAAAAAAACAAAACAGTAATTACTAGCAATTCAAAGCCTATTCCTGCTGCTGAACAGAGGCAGTAATGGCTTGCTTTCTCCCCTAGCAGCTATGTACTCTTGGGCAAGTCCTCACCTTGTTGAGCCTGTTTCTGAATCTGCAGGGAATGTGTTGCTTAAATGTTTGGGAACATAATGTGAAATAACATGCCACTCATCCTTCTCTAAGAAGGCCATGCAGGGGAAAGAAAAGGCCATGAGCCAGCTGTAGCTGATTTCAACCCTGATCAGAACCCCTCCCTCTCCCAACAGAAGGCAAAGAAAAGAAGCAAGAAAGCAGACATACCAGGTAAACAGAAGTGACCTGTAATTGGCAAAGAAGCATTAGACAAACTGAAAATGTTCTGGTTGCAGCACCCTGTCCCCAAATGCTGGAAGCCAGACACAAAAGGCATGCAAAAGTGACTGTCATACATGTACAAGTGCAGACAAAGCATCACTGGGCAAAAAGGGGGCTAATACTGGAGAGAGGGCCCCAAAGTGCGCCTTGAGGAACACAAGGGAGTCATCCCAAGACCCTCACTTAGCTGCCATGGGAACAGCAAACACCTGAAGCTTTGCTTCATTCAGTCTCCCGAAGGGAAAAAGGTAATAGGGAAGACTCACTAACACTTGTGGCAAACACTATTAGCAAGGATACAGTTTTTCTCCTGGGCTGTAGGACTCCATCTCCTTTGGCTGAACTCTGAGAAATGACAGATATTTTATGTATATATATGCATACATACATATACATATATATGTATGCACACACACAGATATATTTAAATGAAGGTGTACACACTGTGCTAAAATACAAACAACAGAAACCCCAGGTCATATATAAAAGGCTAAATATAACATATAACACAGGCCTAGAGCCAGCTCTTGGTTGGGAGCTGGGTTAAGGGGTGGTATCATCTGGAGACTATGTACACAATTTGTGGTGGGCAGGGAAGGCATCAGTGTAAACAACTCAGACTCACTCCACAATACTGGCCCACAGGAAAATGTGATGTATCTCACGTACAAAAATAGACTGCCACCTTGCTTTTGTACGCAACTAAGCATGGCAGGTACCCAGAAGGACTGTGGGTTTGTCTTGATGACAGGGAACCACACCATGCTGCTGCTAAACTTTCCAGCCCTAGAAACTTATCTGCTACCCCTCTCCCTTTCAAGCTCTTGGGCCTTTTCCCATCCAACACCCAGAGCCCGGGGCATGCCCAGATCACCCACCCTCATACAACTAACTTGCCAGGCTTCCTGGCATGCAAAGTCCTTCTGTATCTGTCCCTTTCGGACTCCAAGATATATGAAGACTTATCTCTGTAAATGTTTGGCACCTAAGTAACATGATGGTTGTGGAATAATGCCACAATGACACAGGGAGACCCAGTAACAAGACATGCAGGATGAGGGCAAGGGGCACTGAGCTGCCCAAGCATCTCAAAAACCAAACTGTGGCTTCCCATGCATTTCTGGGGGTAGGAGAACGGGTGTACAGAATTAACAACTTCGCCTTCGGCTCCTCAGAAGCAAATACATTCAAAACTGAAGGCGTCTTGAAGGCCCCACCATACCCTAAATCAT